TGTGGCACAGCCCGGCTGGAGCTGCTCCCTGCAGCCCATGGGGGACGGTGTAACAGATGAACTTGAATTAGTGACCGTTGCTCCAAAGGGGCAAGATTTAGCAACTCTCACCACAGCAGCCTCTGCAGCAAGGGGCACTGGCACTGCTGGAAACAGCTAATTGGAAACATCAGAAGTTCAGGTTAAAAAAAAAAAAGCTCACACTTACCAAAGGTGGGTACAGGGTAAAGCCAGCCCTGCTCCTGCCTTATTTGCTTGTACTTGAGTTGTTACTTCCAGAAAATCCCTGGGGAAATGCCTTTGAGATTTTATAACCTGAGGACCCATCTACCAGCGGCTTTCACCATGCACGCTGCCAGTCCATGTAGGAACATGGGCTCCTTCTAAAGTTTTCGCCAAAAGGTGGCATTTTTAAGAGTCCATCATTCAAATCAGACTGGAAACCACAGTCACAGACTGCTCGTTTCAGTACTTTTCAAGGAGAACGGTGTAGCTTACAAGTGCCATTACTTGACACTGAAATCACTTACCCTGGAGCGGAAGAGGCTCAACACTTGTGGAAATGGTACCATCACATTTTGTCAGAAGATGGACGAGTCCTAACGAGGATGCCGGGCCATTTGACAGAGTTTAAACGCTGTTTGCTGACCATGAGACACGGCAAGTCGTACCAGGTTGCGGCATTCAGGTATTGCCACCAACAGCAACAAGATTAAAAAAGCGTACAATATCCTCGCCAGTAGCAAGGAAGTACGGCATTTGCCCTTACATCACTGCCTACTCCAAAAAAACAGGGGGAAACAACTTTAAAGAAATAGCTCCTATGAATTAAAGCTTCTGCTGCCAAACGCTATTGTTAAATCTTTGCTGTTGGCAGTGATCAGCTTTCGCTGGCCTATGAGCCATAATAACACCGAGCAATGTGCCAGAGGCACCTTGCTCTCGGCCGGTTCTGATTTTTCCTGCGGTCGTGAGCCGCAGCAGAGGCAAGGATAGCTGCCGGACTGGGTTGGCTGCCGGACTGGGTTGGCTGCCCTAGAACGCTGCAGAGCGAAGCCAGAAAGGTCGGACTAGAAATAAGACAAAATCCAACTAATTTAAGGTCTTTTGAACACTTCGTTCTACTTCACCCATTACTTTAAATGAGATCCACTGAAGGCAATGCATGAAAGACAGACATTTTGTCTGAAAACACGTTTTTGTAATTTATTAAATCTGTACACAGAGTTAGCTAGTACTGTTCTCATCAACGTATTTTTAACCTGCTCCTCCATCATCCCTCCCCAGGTCAGCAGTCTGCTCTATTGAATAAACGGAAGGCAAAGCCCTTTGCCTCCTTGGGTAGCCTGAACAGCAGTGGTTCCACTCGTCCCGAAAGGCTCAGCAGCCAAAAGGCAAGTTTGATTATTTTATTTAAAATTAAACATTTCTTTCTGTTCAGCTACTGCGTGTGGAGCCAAACATTGTGTCTGATCATTGTTAGTGCCAGGAAAAACTGCTCCATGAAAACTGATCCGAAATTAGAGACCTTAACAGATAACAAAGCTGTCAGAGAAACAGCTTCTCAGATGTTGCCTTAGAACTGCAGGATTTGGGTTTATGCTGAAACTTTTTACCATTTTAAGCTCAAAGTTGCTCTTATCTGTGGTGAAGAGAGGTTTTATTGTTACTGGACAGAGTTACTGGTGTTGAAAAACAGCAATGATTTTGCTTAGTTGTAGTTGCACTGATTTCACAGGGCATCAGGAGGTTCTGTTAAAAGCTAAATCTTTCATCGGTTACTCCAGACAGCACTGTGCAAGTCCCAAGTCAATATAAAAACAAAATTAAGCAAATCAGAGAAAGCTCCTTGGAAACGCATGGGTAGGGAAAAAAACCCAAACCAATCTGGACACTTCACTTGGGATTGTCATTTTCTTGAAGAATGCCTTTAAAAACCAGAAGAACATCCCAGAACAATCTGAAGACTCAAGGACCTTGGTCAACTGGTTTCTGCCCTCAAATACTGGCTTCATCACTCCAGGTCAAATTTGCAGTTTCTACCACTACATGTGGTTTTTCACATCAAATCATCGTAATTAACATCTGTAAAGTGCTTTGAGATAGTGCTACAAAAATACTAATAGTTAAAAGAAGGGCAGAACATCTATTATCAGCACCTAGCTGATTATTACTACTTGTTTTTTTCCTCAGAGCAGCATCACTATGTTCTCCTTTGACTTCCTATTAACAAAGAGCAAGGTGCCAGCGTTGGAGATGGCACGCAGGCAAAAGGAGTTTCTGCAGGGCAGTGAAAGAAGGATGTATTGGAACACATGAAGATGTCTTCTGGAAAGATGAATGAAGCAGAGCTCCAGAACAGGATGGGTATTTACTTCCCAGCTACATCAGGAAAGCAGTGCCACATGCAGATTCACGTGCACAAAACTATGCAGGAGGCTTTAGATACCATAAATATTTGCCAAACAAGGAGAGAGGTGGTGCTAATCTTAAAAAAGTATTTCAAGACCAATACTTTTTGGGAGGAGGACATAACTGCTCATTAGAAGCTATTGCCTGAGGGCTGTTAACTACTTAGTAGTAAAATCCTGCTACCTTTCCAGTTGACAGTAACTTCTCTCTAGTTAGCAGCTTCACAAAAGCAATCCTTGTATGAATCCATAAAGCTTTCCCAGGTTTTTAAAAGGTTAATTTTACCATTATAATTGCACTTTAAAAACAGGCATCAACCCCTATGCACTCTCCCCAAACACCTCCTTGATTTATCAAAGTGGAAAGAAAGGCTACAATTATTCACTGTCCTACAGCTACCAGGATTTGAAAGGTTTGATTTAGGTGCCTGAAGAAAGGACGCAAACACCCAGTTTTCAGATCAGGAAAAAGTGTGCATTTTAAAAAAACAGCAGGCTTCACAGCTTGGCTTGCATCGGCTTCAGGTGTTTGTGGAAAGACTCATGAACCTGTAAGAGGACAAGACAGTGGTTACAACAAGGTCAGCCCTGAGCTTTAAAACAGTTTTGGCTCTTTACATCTTGCAGTGTGGTTTTATACTAAGGAAATTTGAATCAGAGGCACATGCCTTGGGGATTTAAGAACAGCCAGCTAAGTCCTGTATTTGAGTGGCTGCATGACACAAAGGATGAGAATATAAGCCAAAACAAATAGCTTCCCCACTACCTTTCCTGTAAGAAAAAAGAACGCAAGACATCTTATGTCCTTACAGACAATTCTTCGGCATTTTAATTCAAAGAAAACTGGTGGAGGTCTCCTAAGGGGACTGTAATGAAGCTCCTAAGCCCCGCTGACTTCAGAAGCACAAAAAATTGAGCAAGTTCTGGTGGGATTTAACTACAATCGCAGCCTCCGGCAGCCCATCGTAGGAGATAGTCTGTCCAAATCAAATAAGGGCTGTAAAGGCCACCGAGACAGGATTTAGAGTTCTGTTTTGGCTGATGGAAGAGGGACACTGACTCTTCTCAGCTCTGTTTCTTTTATTAGCTCAGCTGTAGCTACAGCCTTAGGGCAGATATGCAACACCTGACACTTAAGTACTACATGAGAGCAATTTATTTTCTTCTCCAGTCACTACTACTGCCTGAAGGCACCAAAAGATTTGCCAGAAAACAGGTAAGGGTTTCGCAGCTACTGTCACTAAGCAGAATTAACAGCAAGTGATAATTTCTTTAAATTCAATGAGATTATTCCATTTTTTTCTCTAGGGAGAGTATGATTTCCTCCCTCAACTGAGAAACTCAACAGTATCCCAACAGGGATGTATGTGAGGTACACATGGGAGAGTAACTGAAGAAAGTATGCTGAAAGCAGAGGAGCAGAAGTAGGTTGCTAGTTTCGGTCCATTACCACTAGTGACTTCTCTCCCCAGTTCATGAATTATGTGCTGAGATCACTGAATCAAAATTAAAAAACCCTAAATTAGGTTATTTCTCTGGACACATGTGACTTAAAGATGAAGAAATAAAGTTTCTTTACCTCTGTTTTGTTCAGTGGGGATTTCTTTGCCCACTCAAACATGTTCTCGTAGACATTGCCATCATACCGGCCAAGCACAGATCCAAGATGAACGTCATGAAAGTCAAAGGAGTCCACCAGCGCTACTGCATTGGGACGAATTATAGCTAAGAGCTCTTTCACACGCTGGTTCACTTGAGTAATTTGGGCATCGGTCAGAATACCCGCCTTGGAAAAAAAAAAGAGATTATCAGAAGAGTATGCAAGTCGCGAGAACCTTCCCTTCCCCTATGGTCTAACATACATCAGCCTTCCCACACACAAAAATGCAGCAGTTCATGAACACTAGATTTTTTTTTTCCAAGTGCTAAGTAATCAAATTGGCAATTTGCCATAGAGTACAAGCAAAAGGAGATGCCTAGCATAGCCCACCATACTGCCTAGCTATTTAATCTCTGATGGGAGACTCATGCTTTAGAGCACCTGTATGTTAACTTCAGTAGCAAGTTTTCTTGAAGAACGTGCACTTGTGTATATTAAATTCTTCCTGGTTTCAGGGAACTTTTTGGTAAGCAGCAAAGAAAATAGGAAGGCAAAACATACCACATCTGCCTGAAGACAAAATAAAACACTGCTGCACAAATACATTGTCAAACTGAAAAAATGAAGAGAAGAAAAGTAATGCCTGACAATTTAAACCCATTCACTGAAGGATGGGTTAAGATTTGGAGTACGAGATCCCCCTTTTGTGCACCAATTTACAAATGCATAGAGCTCTCGGAGCATGTCTAACTTATCTCTCATTTATTAACTCCTTGTTTTTTAACAAACAACACCTGATCACCAACTGGAAAACATTTAAGCTAACCTAGACAGACGCCATGTTACCATTTATCATCCAACTCTGCTTCTGGCAGATCACAAGGGACACTTGACAAAAGCCTTCCATCAGACCTGCACTGCTAATGGCCTTCTGGAAGTCAACAGTCAAGACCTTACACCTAAGCATTCATGCAACTTTGCATTTAAAGCATCTTTGCAAACAATGACTCTGGCTCTAGAGATTTAAAGCGTTGGAGAAAGACACCAACCTGCAAGAAATCCCCTGTGTTCTTACTGATCCCATACAGTGCATACAGGAGAGACAGCTCAGTCATGACAGCACAGACAGCTGCATTACTGATCTCAGACAGCTTTGCTGTGAAAAGCTTCACTATCACGTAGTGACAGTGTGCCTGCAAGAAATGAAAGGAAGGTGAATCAGGTTCATGAAGAGATGAAAAGCTCTTATAGCATATTTCTTTATCAGGCACGTCACTGACCTCAGATGCTCGCACAAGATCAACGGAAGTTCTGTTCCAGGCATCCTCCTTGCTCTTTCTGTGGTTCAGTTCAGCTTGCAAATTCTTTGCTGCAGCTTCTACAAGCCTATTTCATAAAAGGAAGAAAAACAGGTTATGCAATAACACCACATTAACAAGATTACGTACACTGAATTAATATGAATTTCAGTCTAACACATCAGAAGAACTCAGAGGTCGTGTGCCACAACTGAATACATTGCCTGGAGTGAGCAGGTGTGGCTCTAAAACCCCTATCATCACTGCTGCAGCTAGAACACAGCTACAGAAGGGTAAGACGACATTTGACAGCACATATGTGGTGCTTGAATACTTACTCACATGTAGGTATCTGTTCTACTCTCACACTTCCTTCACAACAGGCTTTAATATCAGGATTGTTTCTCTCCAGATAGATCTCTGAGCAGTTTGAACAATGTTGGTATTTGTATGCTCAAATATACTTCACATTTAAATAAGAAAAAGATATTTCAAAATGGAACAGAGCAGAGTAACTAGGCTATGTGTAGGCGTAGCCTATGCGTATGTAGCCTCTTGTAACCTCAAAGCATTTAACACTGACCCAACCTCGTAAAGTGTGTCACTTCTTGAAAGCAACACATGGAGCAAAGCTTTGCAAATCACGTCTTGAGAATCTAACATTAACAGGGCAGCACATCACTGCCATCTCCCAAGTCACGCAGTTTTATTGGTGCTTGGCTCAGTCTAATAAGTGTGAACTCACCGGGCAGCACGTGCTTTGTAGGCCTCCACCAAGCTGACTGGATCATTGATCCGCACAGTCACAGTCCTAGCAGCCACGTGCTGTGGCTGAATGCGTTGCCTGGAGAGATCATTAAGGTAGGACACCATGCCAGTAACCCGCTGCCCAGAACTAACTTGGGTGTAGCTTTTGACAAGGAACCTGAAAATAGAGACAACAAATAGCAACTTACTCATGAGTTGTTTGAATGGAGAGAAGTCATCTTACCTGGGGTCAGACTAGCAAAGAACAGTTGTAGGCACATACTTTTCTGTCAAAAATAAGGCAAGGGATAGAAACATGAGACACCAGTTTCATGGTAATACGGGATGCTCTTCTGCTCATCACTTCAGCTACAAAGGTCATAATGCCAAGGCAAGAATGTCTAGGACACAACAGGACATAAGCTACCATACCTAGCTGTCTGCAGCATCATGACTGTGTTTTCTCCCTCGTAGGTGCAGGATGGTGTGAATGTGACATAGATGTCAGGTATGCCACTGCAGCGAGAGTAGCCATGCCCACCACATGCCATCCGACATTCCTCAATACCAGCATTGGCAGTCCAGGAAGTGAACGCCTTCAGCCCTGCTGTCAGTGCATGGAGCTGATGGACAAAAGCAAAGCCAGATTTTTTATTTTCCATTCTCAGCTTGCACACATACGTGCTAAGTACTGCAGCTCCCAGAAGAAAGCAGAGTCAACACCATCCTTCCAGTGTCCCACAGGCTCTTGTTTTTCTTGCAAGGACTCTTTCCTGAGCTGAACTATTTATATGAAAGCCTCTATACCTGTAAAGATTTCTTTGGAGTACCCCATCTTTTCTGTCTCTATGCGTTATGTCCAGGATTGTTTTCAATTGCCTATTGTCACTTCGGTTCCCAGACAGAATCCCTAACGGAAAACTGACATTTTACAACCCTAACCCCTCAGTATCGTACTGATACCTTTGATCAACACACCAATTCTACCCTAGTGACTTGGAAGAGCAATCAAGAAGCTACAGCACAAGCATAAGACCAGCCTTAACTCCACTCCCAAGCGATATGCCATCATTCCTGGAAAGCCACCTTTTTAAAAAAAAAATATATTCACAGTAGCTTCCTCACTGTGCATTACTCCCTATTTTTTTTGTAAAGGGCTGCTAAATGAATAGTGCAAATAAAGAAATAAAAGTCACCAGCGTATACTGGGCTTGGGATCCCCGAACCTAAAGAATTACAAGGTGTCTCAGGAGTGAAAGCCAAAAAGGCTTGATGCCTTTTCTCCCATGCTGTAAAGAAACCTTACATAAAATCAACAGAGGACACAGTACCTCTGGCAGCTCACTCAGATCCCCTTCATTGATGTCTCCACTAATACGACGATAGGTGTCTTTTATGTAGGCTCCCACAAAGTGAAAAGCATATGCTGTTGCCAGGAGAGGAAAGAGTTTGTATTGTTGGGTCTGATAATCCAAGATCTGGGGTTCTGGTTCCCTAGAGCAATATACAGATGAGTTAGTATGCCAGTAGCTAGCAAACTGCCGTGAAGTCCTGTTCAGCTCCAAGTAGCTTCTCCACTTGGATAGTACCAGCTGCATCCGTATCAAGCCAGACTATCTAAGACTATACAGCAAAAGCCTCTGGCAGGGGGAAGGCATTTTGGCAGTCAAGAATGGAAGATTACTCATTTCCCAGGATGAAACAATGTTTTGAAACTACCAAGTGCCAAAGCAAACATCATCAACCACAGTCCCTCTTCTCTCCAGTATTTGGGAATTTTCCCTCAGCACTTAGGCTGCTCTTTTATTTCACTGTACTTACCCTGGCTTTAGCTCAGACTGGTGTCTCACTGCACTATAGCGGATGGCAATGGTACAGGCCCGGGACAGGGAGCGAGCTGAATCGCCTACAATGAGAGATCGGATGAACACCATGGTCCCGTAGGTCAGCTTGTCACTAAGAGGTTTCACATAGGTGCCATCTGGTTCAACCTACCAAAAAAAACAAACAACCAGGCTGTTGATTTTTAAAGTTTCCTCCCTTTTACATGTTCACATCTCAAGCTCTAAACTCAAAGTAGCACTTACAAGCAACCTACAATCTTGTTGGTACACTATTCAACCACACAAGAGGACTTGAAGTGTCCATTTCTAACAGCATATGCTGAAATTCACTGCTTTACCTGGGCATATTTCATCAGCATGTTTTCCCGAGGAATTCTGAAGTTGTCCATTTTCAGGTAGCCATTATCCATTTCATCATAACCAAATTTTGGCCCGATGTCACCCACCGTAATACCTGCCACAGACAAAGCCGCTTGCATTACGAAATAGGAACTAAACACCACACGAGAGGTTCAATCCTTCTCCAATAGACTGTTTAGTTTTCTAGCAAGTCCTAGCATTGTTAGGAGTAACAGCTGACGAGGACCTTAATCTCTTTGATGGAAAAACGGACATCAAAACATGGGGATCTTCACAATTTACATGCAGTCCTACTATCCAGCCACCGGGGGAGCTGCCTCTGAAGATCATCCAGCTCACTTCTAGCTAGAGAATGATGAAAGGTATTCTTTCCCTTTCAGAAAGTAGGACATGCTGCCTCACAGAACGCATAGCTGGGAAACACTGGGACAGAATCAAATCCCACACCTTCACATTGGAAGTGTGACATGAAAGATGATTTAGCGGTAGTTCTGTCATAAGAAAGACTCCTTCAAGCCCTGTGACCTACCATCTACTGACTGAAATCAGCTAGTGAAATAACCTGTGTACATTAACAAGACACATGCAGCTGTATATAGCTGGAGAGAAACAGTTCTAACGTATTCCATGAGTGCTAAACCCTTAACGTTAATTTTTACCTGGCAAAGGTTCGTGGGTGCCCAGCTGCCGTATGGGAACAATGAAGGCATGCAGCCCTTTGCACTGGCCCTGAGTGTAGAGCTGAGCCAGAACAACGGCATGGTTCGACGTCTTTCCAACTGCAAAAGGAATGGGAGTCAAGGAAAAAAAAAGTCAACGAACTTATATACACAGAGTCTCTTTCCTTAAAGCAGGATCTGTGATTACCTTAACCACATGATGCGTTAGAAAACCAGATTTACAACACTGGTTATCATCCAAATTCTACAGCTAGACAAACAATGATGCTCAAGTCAATGAAAGTCGCACGATATGATTCGCTCAACTATGCAATACCAAGTCCTTGGCAAACCTGCCAGTGGAGCTGAAGGAAGTATGAAGATTTTGATACAACCGATCAAAAATTACACCAAATCCATACAGTGTGAATGATTCTGAGAAACAATTCAGAGCACACGGATAATCCGAAGTTTTAGTAGGCTCTGACAAGTCTGTTACTTGTTGTGCAAGAGTAACTGCCTTTCAGCCAACTCTTCGGAACAACTTTCAATCATCATTCTGTAGATATAATAGACATGACATCACCTCCCTAAGTTTTTCCATACATCTTCCAGATTTAGACACACAATAATGCACTTACGTCCACCTGGCCACCACTTAATGGAGGTCACAGTGGGGCTGTTGAGGATGAATTCCTGGGTAGCTGGGTCATAAGTAGCTGTAGTTTCTAGACCACGAAGGTGAGTTCCTGAAAACAAGCAAACACATTGTTTTGGCAGAAAGTCAGTCACAAAACAGAGACAAGGACAGAATTGGACAATGGGAAGTTGAACTCCAGTAGTAATGTACAAATTTTAACTTTGCTTTTAGGCTATATAAAGGACTAAATATCAACCAATTAAGGAAGAACAAGTGAGAGTCAGACCATATTCTGGGACCTGAAGCCAATTCTCAGAAAACATGTAATTTTTTTTTTCCCCAGTCGTCTAAGGCTAGTTTTCCAAGCACCTCCAATCTGACACCTTTTTGCTACTACATACCAGAAGCCCTTTCTCAGTTAAAAAGGTCCACAAAAACACACTCACCTGGATTTCACTAAAACTGCAATCTGATTAAATTGCAAAATAAAAATCGCATACTTTTCAGCCACAAGATGAAATAAGTAGTGCCCATCATCTCTTCATTCCCTCATCAGGCCTACATTCTCCTCACTTGATGGAGCAGTTTCTCCCAAACGAGATCACCCATAGCTCCAAGACAGCAAGTAATGGCATGCATATTCTAGGGTACTTCATATTCTAGGTAGATGAAGAAACTGCAAAAAGATGAAGGTAACAATTCCACGAACAGTCTTTGTCTTCTGCCCCCAACTCTTTACTTCACACACACGCCTGTCTCAGCAGTGGCATTGTCCCTGCATGCTAAAAAACAAAAAATCACCACCAGGCCTACTTGCTTAAACTAGACAAGCTGTGAACACTCCTGATAGTCTGGACTGACAAAGCAAGACAGAGCCAGTGGCTCTACACAAGCGCTTCAACATGAAAAAGGATATCACCTTGATGCAACCACGTTTCCAAAGCATGGAGTTAATGGTAGATTTCCACAGGCAGCTTAACACAGACTTACTTTGCTGGTAAAGGATCTTCGAACCTCACTAGTTGCAAGAGATTCTCCACAGACTTGCAGTGACTTTATGCTTCATACAGTCTCTACAATTCACTTCAGCACAAAGGTAAATCCTGCTCGTTTTTAGAAAGTAATTCTCATCTGCAACTCTCAGATGTCAAAATTAAAGTTTCCCAAGGCATAATATCCTCCCTTTGAAACTTGGATTAAAAGTGTTGCAATCACAATACTGCTGGAGTTATCAAAATCCATTTCAAAGCTTGAAAGCAAAGGAATAGCAACAAAGAACAAAGTGTACTTGAGATAGAGAATTAAAAAAAAAAAACATTTCGTGGTCCAATTAAAAAGAACACATGGGAATGAACTAAAGAACTGGGGGAATAAAGCTCCCCACAAAACATGAGCATTGGAACCAAGTCATCCACATATTCTCTGATCCAAGGTCAGTCCCAAGGTGACAAGCAACTCTTTACTTTTTTTGGCATCTCTTTCAGTACCTTAAAGCTCTGTCCTTTTGTCTTCGCACTGAACGTTAAGTAGAGCAAAGCAGAAGTCACACTGGAAAGAATGGTAAGTGTAGAAATGAACAGATGTCATCAAACTGACATCACCATAGCCATATACAATAATCTATACCGGTTGGAATGGCACAAGAGGAGCACTCAGTAAGCTCATATGTAGAACTACAGACATCAAACTCTCCCATAGGAGAAAAAAAAGGGCAAGTAGCGTGTGGCATAATGATCTATTAAAAATTTCAGAGGCAGTCCACTTTTCCGTATAGCCACAACTGCATGTGTAAAGACTGCGAGGTAAACACACACCATTTTTCCCAGGCAGGGGAATCCTTTGTACACAAAGCCATTCTTAGAAAGAGCATTTAGTGAATGTACTGTACCATGGCCCATTTCAGTCTGGGCATAAGTGCCAATGATCTCCAAGTTCCAGGCAGGCATGAAGAAGCGATCCTGCTGCTCTGGGGTTGCCTGGGTGAGAAGGGTGGGGAGGAACATGCCCAGATGAAGGTCCAGAGGCTCAGGCCGTCCACGATGAACAAAGCTGTGAAGAAGTGTCATGGGATGGGAGCGTGAAGGGAATGTTATGGGAGGGAAGCAAGCATGAGGATTCATGGTGGAGATTCAGGAAGAGACAAAAAGAAAAAAAAATTATTCATGTGTAAATCAGAATTCAGCAAGTGTATTTTAGAAAGACAGAGCACTGTCCTTTTCTCGGGCCTGAATAATAAGAAATTACACTTATTCTGACATAAACATGCTGCAATGCATTTCTTTCTAATCATACATAAAATGCATTTGCAACATTCCCGTATTTTTGATGCACCGTGATTGACAACAAAAAGGATTAATCCAAACCAAAAGAAAGACCAGACCTTCACTATGGTTTGGAAACCAGAGCATCCCTAAGTTAAACGGGCTGAGTCAGAATGTCAGTTTGTTGAAGATGTGATCTGGCTGGATGAAGCAAGCCTTCACCCAAAGATACAAAGTCCACATTTTTTTTTCCATGGTTTGAGCATAGAACCTGGTAGAAGTCCCAGTTTATCCAGCTGAATGAGCTGGGTTTTCACTGAACTTTCTTTTTTTAAAAAAGGGAAGTCCTTTTTGTCTGTACTATCTAGTTCACTTTTTTTTTAATTAAAGATGAGACACAACTAGCATATATTACATTCCAACTCAACTCCCTTCAACTTTTTCTATTTTTAAAAGGTCTCTTAAAAGGACAGTGCTCTGCATGTGTAAGTCAAAGTTGTGAACATAAGCAACTTGGCAAGAAAGCCAACATTTTTCAACCTGTAAATTACCAGCTGTCCAATTAAACATGTTTCAGCAGAACTACTCTTCCTCCAAGTTCTGTCAAACACCACTCTTAGGTCGTTAAGTGGTCTATTAAGCTTTTCAATATAAAGAATTAAACGCTCGTTACATCTTTAAATATTGATAGCTCTGAGTATTAAAATAGTGGGGATATAGATTGAGGATCAGTACCTTCTGTACAAAGGCTGTCCATCTGGCACATTTATGTATGAAAATGTAATTTGGTCTAACAGGAATATATATATATTTAAATGAGATATGCATTATGGAAAGAGCATTGATCTGAGCTTAGCTCAAACTCAGTTGCCATTCTTATCAAAGTAGGAAGAATGCATTCTTGTGTTACCTCTAAACACACTTTAATATGAACTAGCTCTATCCCCAGAGCTTCCTAAGAACTGTAGTTCTTGTCTTTGGTATTCTCAGGCACCTACAAATACATTCAGCCATCTAATAAACCCAGTAGCAATGTTTTCTAAGCTTTTTGACTGAACTGTGACCAAGCTCAACCGAGGAGTAATGGGTTACAGGAATACTAGACTTTAAGAGAATTCAGTACTGGTGAGAAGTACACAGCTGACAGTCAAAGACTGAAAGAAAATCCTTATTTTCTCCTCTGACAATTACTGCAGAAGCATTACTGATG